AGCGACCCTCACTGGGTGAGGACAGTGTGGCAACTGCTGTGGAACACGGCTACACTGATTGAATGGGTCCACTAACATTTCACTTTTTATTATTATTTTTAATCTTTATTTATTTGGCACATGGTCTTCCTACATAGCTCAGACTCATCGTGATCCTCTTGTCTCAGCCTCCCCAGTACTGCGATTACAGGCATATACCACCACACCCGGCTTTGGTGGGCAGCATGGCACGCCCAGGGTTCCAGGACCAGTACAACATCAGTACCAGGGTTTGAACTCAGGTCCTTGTGCTTGCCTGTCAGGCCCTTAGACTGCTGAGCTATCTCCCCAGCCCCACTTTTCACGTTTTAGAAACTTACTCCCTAAATTCTTACGGTATTTGAAGTGGAGCCTTTGGAAGGTAATTACATACAGTCAGGGAGGACCTCCAGGGGCCAGGTGGCTTTATAAGGGGAAAAGAGCCTCAAGCTGGTGTGCTTCTCTGTCCTGCCATGCAGTGCCCTTTGCCATATGCAGTGCCGAGGCTGCAGAGATGACAGCGCTGGCGCTTGGAATCCCTGGGTTCCAGCACTGTGAGCTCAATAAAATACATTCTCTGTACAAGCTGCCATCCTGTGCTGTGCAGTTACAGCAATGAAAACAAACCAAGACAACGGCTAACTAGGCTTTTCACGTCCACCCTTGAAGATGTGTAAGAAACAAACAGATCGAGAGGAATAAAAAGGCAGTGTTCCAAAAGAGTCAGCAGCTCAGGCAAGCCCAGGGGAGGCCCAGCCTCACGAGAGGGTGACAGTGGAGGCCCAGGGACAAGCAGTGTTCTCCCACCCTCCCGCCCTGCTGCAACCCATCTTTGCCTTCAGCACCCTCTCCCTTTAGAGGCCCTATAGGTCCTAGTTTCTGATTCTTTAGTCATCTTTATGAAGCATTAAGAAGCAAGACTGGCATTTGATTGAAGAAACAAGCAGTCAGAGGCCTCGCAAGCTCAGTCTACAGCGTGCCTGGTTGTCTTCTCTGGGATTTCATGCCGTGCTCTTCAGTGTTCTAAGTACAGAGCGTCACTGTTTCTGTTCAGCTTCCATTTGCAGAGTACTTCATATGGGCAAAGTATCAAGTCCTGCATGTCACCTAAGTTATCTTGTTTAGTTTGCGCTGGAAACTCAGAGAAACCTGCTCCTTCTTTCTGCAAGACTCAAGCATGAAGGTGCTGTGCATCTCTCCACATGGCAGTTAAGTGTAACATTGCACGAGGGCATCGCTCCAGCTGGGCCTACCCCGAATCATTACGGGACACATAAAAACATTCTAGAGGGTGTAAAGTACATATACAGGAAGGGCTAAGCTAACTGTGCTACCAGGCAGGAAGCGATGGATCGAGCTCTTTCCTCAGCTGTGTTCCGTTACCTCGAATCACTTTTCTTTGGGATTGCAAATTGTTCAGACACAAAGAGCGAAACAAAGGTCCTTTCCTCAGAGTCACGCTTAGGTGACGCTCATTTCCCTGCCAGTTCATGGGAAGCCACAGAGCCACAGAAGTGAGTCTCTGGTCAGGCACATCGTGTCTCTACTCTTGTTCACAGCACATCCATGGCTAAGGTTGTGCAAAGGCTGATTCGCCAAACAGCATCTCCATATTGCCTCTTCATAAATTATTTCATTTTATATTTTATTTTATTTTACTTTATTTTATTTGGTACAGGGTCTCTCTTACTACACAGCTTAGACTAGCAGTGATCCTGTCTCAGCCTCCCTAGTGCTGGGATTACAGGCGTGTGCCACCACATCCAGTTTATATAGACCGCACATCTCAATGACTTCGTGACATGATCCAATGTGGAGGCTCAGCCAGTGCAGGAGCCAGCGCAGCCCAACAGAAAGGCCTGCTTCCTACCAGCACGGCACCTGCAGGCCTGCCGTGTGGCCACATGGAGGCCTTCAGCTCCAAGTCTGTGCCTTTCATGTTGCACAGCTACTTACATTTTAATTAGAAATTCAAGACACCAAAGGCTTCACTGGAAACCAAAACGAGGCACGGGACAGGGGACACGAATTACACTAGCACTTCAGAGGAAAAACTGTACCCTGTGGTGTGCCGCACTTCACTCCGTTTACCTGGCTTTGGCCAATGGCTTTTCTTTTTGTCTCTCCATTTTGATGTTAGTTTTGTTTCAATTTTTTGTTTCTTGTTTTTGCTTTAGGCTACTACTTCTTAATTCCTTGCATTTACATACTCAGACACTCAAAACACAAACTCATACATGCACCTGTTTTTTTTCTTTTTTTGGCAACCGGGGATTGAACTCAGGCCCTTGCGCTTGCCAGGGAGGTGCTTATTCTACTGAGCCATCTCCCCGGCCCCATACATGCACCTGTTAACTTACAACTTTTATGCAACAGCCACATTCTTCTAGAAACAAGAAATTATTGCTGCTCTCTACTTGCATCCAATGAGGGGACACACACACACACACACACACACACGCACGCACGCACACACACACACACGCACACTCCCCTCCATTAGGAAATACTCAAGAAAACGCTGAATTTTGACAACTGATATACAATACAAGCAAGTGTGAAGAAAAGTCTCAGAAACATTCAACATTTGCATTTGAATATTTATAATGAAAATACTTTAGTTTCTGCTATATGTGATTCCCCAAGTGCTATTTTAAGGATGTTAAAATTTGTGGTAACTTTTTGTTGGTACCAGGAATCGAACTCAGGACCTTGTGCTTGCCAGGCAAGGCACTGTGCTGCCGAGCTCAATCCCCAGCTCTTGTGATGATTTTCCAGCCCCCTGGGAAAAGGAAGAAGACTCCCCTGGTACAAAGAAGTAAAAGGTGTGCTGATGGCACACCTACCTTTTAACGATGTGGGAATGTGCTGGCAATCTGCCATTTTCCCAGCAGTGGCTAGCTCCTTCCGGTGGAGTTCTAGAAAGCCCTGCCAGGTGAGCATCACAGCCTCTGAAGATGCCGCCGAAGACTTTCTTAGCTCTTCTTCTGAAGGAAAGACTTCTTCATGAGTCCACAACCCAGACCTTTCACTTGGTGATTCTATTATTCCACCAGCAGAAGCAGGCCACCCTCCATGGCCACAGTACATCTAGTAATGTAACACTTTCGTAAGAGCCAAGAATCATCTACATCGTGGTACTGGGTCCATGCCAACAGTACCAGAAAAAATGCCAACCATTTGAACTGCTTTGTTATTGAGGTACAGGCACATCAGTGACCCAGAATCTTTGTAAAGTGTTGATAGTTAAAAAAAATACTAAATTATACATGGCAGGATGGTAATTCCTAACAACGAAACTGCAGGCATTTTATAGCTAAAGAGTTTTATTGGCTTTTTGTGAAATAAAAAACATGAAACAAACCACCATGGTTAAAGGCCATAATCAGCATCAACCAAATGAACCAGCCACTTGGTTACAGCAGCTGACAACAGTAGTGGATATTATTGCTTGTACCCCACGTTCATTTATGTCCATTACATTTTGGCAAGATTACAATCAAAAGGGAGCTTTGGTTGTATAAATTCAACTATGATGGCTCAATGCCAACTCCACCTCTATCACCTTCTGAGGGGACACGGGTCACTTCTTTCCAAGTCATGACATTCACCCTCTTAGTTGGATTCATGTCTCCTCCTATTAATAACTTACAACAACCTTACTTTAAAAGATAACGTGGATATATTTGTCTTTCTCCTCACTCCACAGCCCCCTCTCCTGCATAGGAGGTGGTTTCTCAGTCTTTCTAAGCGTGTGTGTGTGTGTGTGTGTGTGTGTGTGTGTGTTTCCACTGCCAGGAATAACTTGGCCCATCTGTAATCTAGACAGATTTTCAAATGTATCTGACTGGGGTTTGGAGTCAACTGTCTCTTTTCCATCTTAGGAAAGCTAGAAGAAAATAAAAACAAAGTCAGCCCTTAGCATCGGAACGTCGACTGTGCAGCAGGGTGAGCCACCCCCGCCACACGGCGTCCCACAGCAGGTGAGCAGCCGTGACCTCACGATGCTCTGCACGTGCTGTAGCTTTGTAATGCATGGAGAAGCAGTGGCCGACTGTCTCTCAACAGCTTCCGGCTCAACACTCTCTATTTTAACACTGAGAGCTCAGAAGGACCAAAGGTCACAACTCACTCCCAATAGCACCATGTCCTGGACTCCTGGGATTAGATTCATTTCTGTGTTGAAAAAGGCAGGGACCCCACCTCCAGCTGCACGCTCTCAAAGGTCCCCCTGAATTTCAGCAGGAGTGGTGGGCCGCCTTAGCCTGTTTCTGCAGCAAGAAGAATTTTCCCTGGGAAGAGTTAAAAATACATTTTACAAAATGAAACTGGCCGCAGGTGGGAGACCCGAGGAAGCCTGTTTCTGGTAGTGAGAAGTGACAAACCTGTAGGTGGAGGGCTAAGGCCAGGGACCTTGTCCCCTGCCCACCTCAATTCAAGTCAGTAGAGTCTGCATGCAGAAGCATGGCCAGACCAAAAAATACTGAGAGACAGAAACCTTAATTCAGCAATCCAAACACCCACGCGCTAACGGTATCGAATGTATTCGGGTCCAGGATGGAGTGTGCCTGGCTAGTGCTGTGATTTAAGAAGCCCTTCTAATGATTATAAAGATTAACCTCTTGAATCTAAGACATTTTTAACAAGGAATATTTGCTACCACTATATTTTACATGGCACATATAACCACATAATTACTAGCACTTACACAGCAAATATTGTAAATACACATTCTTGGAGTTGAGTTGGTAATTATACTGAAGTTGTTTAGCAGAACAAAGAGTAAGCACTTTTCAACTTGTACTCTGAGGGACTTCAGCCCGACCCCTTACTTCACAACCAAAAGATAACCCTCTAATTATGTAACCATGTTCGGTGGTCATGTGGCCCAGGGACTCACAAGGCATGTCATGGTCAATTTGTGGCCTGTAAGATAAAGTAATACATAGTATTTTCATTTCAACAAAATACAAGAGACCATATAAAAATATTTTCCAATTTGGAATCTGAAACATGAAAGCTGGATTATTTTCTTTGTATAAAAAGAAACAAAATAACGGACTGAAGTCAGTTAGGCTGTCTAGTAAGAAACAGAAGTGGTAGTCTGAGGAACACAGGGAGTCAGCTTCCCCCTTTTCCAGGCTCGCTGACGGTGAGCATGTGCTTTGACCCTAGCGAAGAGAAACGCACAGAAGTGGAGGGAGGCCAGTGCCGAAACCTGAACTACAGCGCACCTCTAAGCAGAAGACTAATTTTACAGTAGTGCTTTCAAAGCCATGTGTCAGATTACGGGCGTCCTTCTCTTCCTCTTCAGGCTACTGCAGGAGATGAATTCCAGAAGCACCACTTGCGTCTCGAGTGATGTTTGTTTAGTGCAAGGTCCTCCTTCTCTCGCTCCCTCTTCACGCGCTGGTAGTGGTCTTCCTCCTTCAGGTACCACACCGGGGGCCAGCGGTGCCGCTCGAAGTACTCCTGGTTTTCTGGTGAGGAGAGGGCCGATGATGCCCTGCTGAGCTCCCCAATTACTCCGGCGCTGCTCTGGTCACTGCCCTCCCTCTGCATCCCCCCCTCTCACCTCCCCACGGGGCCACGTTACGGCTAGGACCATGGCTGAGGGGACAGAAAGAGCCCTGCCTGCAGCCTTGCGGCCGGGCACATGGCGCCCAAACCCTTCGCTCTGAGTCTGAGCCTCTCCGAGGCATGCTTCCCTCTGTGCCCAGGGGACCCAGAACACTGGCCGACCCAAGTCCTCTAAGCAGTCATCCCACAAAGAGAATCCCCACCCTCCAATGCTGTGGGTCACGGCACAGGCGAGGGATCCCCCAAGGCCCTTCTGAGCATGCTCCCTCCCACGGCCCAGGAGAACTGGACAGATGGGGCCCTGCACAGTCTCACCTGCAGATTTTGATTTGATTTCCTTGCGGAACTTGGAACAAACACTGTTGTAGTTGGTGCAGATGTGGTGCAAGCACCAGGCGGCCAGCTGGTTGGCATTGTGAAACTGCAGAAAAGTGACGAAAGCCAGTCAGGCTCTAGTTTCTAAAATGAGGCTACAAAGTAACAGGAAGCCACTGTAGGGTGATAAGCAGCACAGGGCAACAGAATCCATTCAGCAAGGCTCTTGTTTGACCTCAGTGTTTTAACTTTGGCTGTGGCTCTGACGCCAGCCAAGTGCAGTATCTGATACACAGTTTTGCAACCCTTTCCACCATGATAGTCATGCCCAAAATAATCACTGTGTCGTGTGGAGAATTTCAAGCATGCTTTGCCCTCCCTCCTGTGTCACCTGGCCCTCAAGCGATAAGCAGCTATGCCCCCTGGAAGCACCAGCGAGAGCAGAGGGCAGCGATGCCATCTCCGTCTAAGGAAGCCACTGCAATGGGATACTCTGTGTCACATGTCAGCTCAGTGTGCTGGGGCCACAGATCCGAGCGAGAGAGAGAGGAGCCTGTGAAACACACGACTGTCCTGCACCTGCCCTTTGCTTACATAACAAGGGCAGGCAGAAGGGCAGGGTGGGAGGGACCCAAGGGCCCCTCTCTCTCCTGAGTGGAGCCATGGGAAGCTGTTATGACCCAAAGGGGCTGGTGTGCAGAAGCTGACAGCCCCAGCTCTCTTCTGTCTTGTGAGACCTAGCAGGACACTCTGGGCCCTGCCCTTTGCAGGCTGATGTTCCTTCAGCTGGGCGAGACACCAGAACCCCATGCATTTGTTTTCCAGTGGTGCATACCTTCACTATGAAGGCCACTGCAAAAGCCAGGGCCTCAGAGACAGCTCATGAGGCTCAGACAGTCCCAGTTTCAATCATACTGAGTGTGTGAGGCTGGTACCTCCACTTCTGCTGGCTATTGATTTATCTCTAGAAATAAGGTCGAGGCAGTGGAGCGCTGGGCCGGCTTTAACAGCTCGAAGGAAGCAGCTGTGTACATGTCCTATTCCGAACTCAGTAACTTCATGTTGTTAAAACTGGCAGTGGTGGGACCCATCACACCATGAAAACTGTAACTGTACCAGGGTGGGGTCCCATATGACCCTGCGGTAAATGCCAGCTACTGGTGGCACGTGCCTGTGGGAGGTCTCCCCTGGAGGGAAGACTCAGAACGCCCTATTCTAGCCTGTTTCTGCTGCAGCTTGTTAAGGCTTAGCAGAAACATTTCCTTGCAGGTTGGTGTGTAGGCAGGGTGCAGGAACAGGCCAGGGTGGGAAAATAGAGCTGGGCGACAGACACTACAGCAAACATTAGCTCCAGTGCTTCGGTCCCAGGTGAAACTCTGAGTCACTTCATGCTTTCTCTGGGCAGGACACTTACTGGCCTGAGCCAGAGTTGTGCACTGTCCCCCAGACTGGGGGTATTTTAAATGATCTTAAATTTCAAGCTGTGGGCCCTGAGTTTTGATGGGGCCTTGCTGGCTCCCTTCTGTCCTTAGCTGTCATTGCAATCACTCATTAGCTTGCTTTTCACACTGGATTTCAATAACCTGTGACTGGCTCTGTTTCTTTTACCTGCCTAGGATTTCTCCCAGGGGAACAAATGGATTGTGTGTGTGTGTGCCCTCAGCCTAGGGCAGGGCCTGGTATGTGGGGAGAAAAGAACAAATACTGGCTGAACTTTAGAACAAACTCCTCTTTACCTTCTTCCCTGTGGGCCCAGGCCAGCCTAGCGTCTGCTACACTGCCACCTTCTACTTCCTGAAAACACCTCCTTACCCAGGCTGAGAAATACGTATTTAAACTGCCTGTCCTAAGATGCAGTAAGCCCCTGTTGTGACTGAGAAAGGCAAACTTAATGGGCAGAAAGAAAGATTACAGAAGTAGCTCTTCACTGCTCCAGACTGGAAGCTCGCTGTTTGCTGGTCTGCGCCAGCGTCTAGGTCACCCTGTGTGCCTGCACTCCGAGACACTGCCCTTTCTTTTGGCTCTTCCTTGAACTTGCCTCCTCGTTGACTTCCACAATAATCTATGAGGCTGGGAGGGTGTGAGATACACTCTGAGGAAGAAACTGAGGGGGCAGTTAGCTTTGTGCCCTGAGGACACTATGTGGTGACAAAGCTGAAGCTGGACCTTTGCCCTTCTCTAGAAGACTGTGATCACGTATTCAGAGTATAGATACTGCTATCAACAAATGACTGATTTTAGAAAACTCCAGGAGAGCTTCAGTGAGCTGCGGGGTATTGCAGGGCTGCACGGCATCTAGACACTAACCCTGGCCAGCACATGCCCCAGGGTTCCAGGAAGGAATATAGCCATATTGCTCCTGCTCCTGCTTCTGCGGCTCTCCAGCCTGGAGGCCAGTGCCTCGGCGGAAAGGGACTGGTGTGAGGGGAGGGTCCCTGTTTGCTCCAGGGAAGCCCAACAGGCTGAGTGGTGCCGGGAATGGTGAACGCTCTGGTCCTCTCAGTGAATGCTGTGAACCTGGGGGCGACACTAGGCAGACAGATGCCAAGGAGAGCACTTTATCAGCTCAAATGAACTGACTGAACACACCAAAGAGGTAAGTGACAGCAAATTGACAAACCTGGGCCAGTTCCAAGTAGGACAGCACTTCCCCGTCGATGCTCACGCCACTCGCAGCGGCCCTGGTCAGCTCCTGCACTGCATGCTGCTCTGGAAAGAGGGGGCAGGAGAACGTTACACTGTGCTTTGTGGGCCAACCCAGCAAGCCCAGCCTGCAGGAGCTGGGCAGGGCAGGTTAGGAGGGGAAGTGTGGGATCCAGCTGTGCGCAGCCATGGGAACTGAACCCAGGGTTCACGTCCACAGCTGGCCTTTCTGTACACAGAGTTTGGTTTTCCAACCCCTGCAATAAGCCTGCGCTTCTGAGCGAGTCAGGATCCTTCTGAGCTGCAGTCCACTGTCCAGGACAGCGACCACATGCCGTGTGGGGCTACGGAAACTTCAATGAACTCAAATACGGTGAAAAGCTCCGCTCCTCAGTGGCACTGACATCAAAAGGTGCCACCACCCCGGTGCCTACTGCATTGCACAGTGCACACTGCTAGCAGCTCCGTGGGCAGGGTAGCTTTCCCCAGCACCACGCCCTGGGCTCCAGGGGGCACGTGCCTGCTTGCTTTCTCATGCACTGTGCTCTAAGCCTGGCAAGGAAGAGATTGCGCAACAGTCCAATAAGGCGATGTGAATGGGAAGTGCGAATGCACACTGCTGTCTCAGCAGCTACAGCTGGGCAGACTGTCTGATCTCTTGGAGTAGAAAGATGGTCAGAACTTTGGTCAGAAGTTCAGCACACGGCTGGATGAGGAGCAATCTTCACCTGTGCATGCGCCTCTTTGCACTTGGAGGCTGAGCTAACTGCTTTCTATCTCCCACCACTGGGAGTAGTGTGCGAAGACTAGCCCCCAAGTTCTAGTTCCGTACGCACTGCCTCTAGCACCATGCTTGTTCTTCTGATCCAGCAATGAGTACAGCTCATTTTATTGTGCTTCACTTGTTTGCTCTGCAAATGTGTGTGTGTGTGTGTGTGTGTGTGTGTGTGTGCGTCACATGAAGGTGTGGGCAGCCCTGTGTTCAGCAAGTGCACTGATGCCAGTTCCCCAACAGCACATGCTCACTCAGCATCGTGGTCACGCTTTAGCATTTCTCTCTGTACTCCTAACTTTCCCATCAGTCATGTGCACGTTATGGGGAGCTGCGGCCAGTGACTGCCGGGGCTACTGCTGCAGCTGCTGCTGCGTGCCAGGAGCTACGTCCCTGAACAGTAAGTGCACGTGTGCTCTGGCTACTCCGCTGGCCAGCTGGTCTTCAGCGCCCTCCTTCTCCATGGGTCTCCCCGCCCCCTAAGACACTAAGATATTGAACTCAGGCCAGTGAATAAGCCCACCACTGCCTGGCTGCAAGGCTTTTACCACTCAAGTGAAAGGAGGAATTGCATCTCTCACTTCAATTCAAAAAGCTAGAAAAAGTTCAGCTTAGTGAGGACTGGATGTCAAAACCCAGGGCACACCACAGCTCAGCTTCTTGCACTGAACAATCAAGCTGATAATGCAAGTGGGAAGTTCTTAAAGGAAATTAAAAGCGCTGCTCCAGTGAACACCTGAAGGCTGAAAAAGACAGACTACCTCATTGCTGGTCTAGAGTTCTAGTGGCCTGCACTAAGGCTCACTCCAGCTACACGAGACCCTAAGCCAAAGCCTAACCCAGCACAAGACCCTAGCTCTCTTTAGATCAGTGCAGGGTGAGGGAGGTGAGGCTGCTGCACAGGAAAACTCAGAAGCTCGCAGAGGACGGGTTATGAGGCTTATGGGGAAAGCTGGCTCCAAGACACGGAGGCAAGGGGAAGCAGTGAGGCTGATGGAGAAGCTGCAGCAAGTTCTCTGGACGTGGTCACAGCTTCTGCTGAAAGGACTGCACTCAAAACTAGACTCTCGGCGTCCACAGAGCCACGTGGTATAGGAGGACACCAGCGGGACTTTCACAGCTGCTGAGGAGAAGCCACTGCCTGGCTACAAGGCGTCAAGGGACCGGGTGGCTCTGTCATTCAGGGCTAACGCAGCCGGTGACTCTAGGTTGAAGCCAGTCTTTCTGTAATTACTATTGTAAAAGTCCCAGGGCCCTGAGAAACTACTCTAAATCTGCTCTACCCTTTGTCTACAAGAAGGGCTGGGAGATAGTACATGTGTCTTCAAGACTGTGTGCTGAGCACTGGGAGCTCACTGTTGAGATGCATGCGCAGAAGAAAAATCAGATACCTCTGAAAATATTACTGCTCATTGGAAATGCACCTGGCCACCTACGGGCTCTAATGGGGATGTGAAATAGCTCACAGATTAAGCAATAATTTCTACTACAGGAGGTCATCCTCTCATGGAGCTAGGAAAAATAAATGGAAAACTTTTCTGAAAGGATCTGCCATTTGAGATGGCATTAAAGACATTTGTGGCTGGGTATGATGGCATATACCTGCGGTCCCAGCTACTCAGGAGGACTGCCAAGTTCATACCAGCCTGAGAAATTCAGCAAAACCCTTTCTTAAAAATTAAGCTGGAGAGGTAGCACAGCGGCAGAGCTCTTTGGGTCTGCAAAAATAACAACCAAACTCTTGTGATCTGTGGGAGTACCATACTGTCTAGTAAGAATTCAGAAGGCTTCCAAAATGGTACGTAGCTGTCATCCCAGCACTTGGGAGGCTGAGGCAGGAGGATCACCACAAGTTTGAGGCCAATGTGGACTGTACAGTAAGTTTAAGCACAGCCTAAACTATGAAGCAAGACTGTCTCAAAAAACAAAACAAAAATTACAGATACATGAAGTTGATCCTAGAGATGTGGTAGAACCCACTGAGAAGTGTGGGAACTTCCACAAGAGCTGTAGCCTGCAGGCGCAGTGGCGCTGCTGCAATCCCACAAGACTTCAAGGAGCTGCTTCTTACAGAGACCGAAGAAAGTGGGGTCTTAAAATACCAACTATTCCTGGACAATGAAGTGCACAGCAGTAAAACCAACAAGGGGCATTGAGATTACTGCACACACTTAGTGACCACAGGAACAGCGCTTGGGAAGGTGGGCTTCAGAACACTGTGGGCACAACCTACTGAGGAGCTCACAGGTGACAGCGTAAGCGCTGGTGAAAGGCAAGCTCGCACACCCACCAAACTTCACTGTCACCCTCTTCTGAGAAAGCGGCAGCACCACTCCACCAGCTTTCACCAGCGAGGCAAGACTGCTCACCAGCAAAGAGAGTGCAGCCAGAGGCCTTGCCCACTGCATTTTTAAATTAAAGATGCACCAACATTTCCACTGGCAGAATGGTATTTCAGACTTGGCAGGCTACAACATAGGCTCAGCTACCTTCACTAGCTGCTGGCACACCCAAAGGTCACGTGACTCACTCTTTATGCCATGTGCTTCACTGCAGTGGCTGCAAGGAGCCCGCCATAGCCACAGTGCGCTGTGGTCTGCACGGTGTAGGCTGCACCTTCCCGCTGTGGCTCCGCCTTCCTGCCAGCCTGGCCTGCTTCCTCTCTGTAGAGCAGGTTGAACTGGGTGCACTTAGGCATAGCCCTGCTCCCCCACAGAAGTCATCTAGAGGCCCTTAGACTCCAAGTAACGGCGACATTTCTTAACATTTATTTAACAATGCCTTGCAATGTGTTCTCATTTCAGAAATTGAACTTTAGTCTCTACAAAGATGTTCTGAACAGTCTTCCTTAAATAGTATGCACCAAATACTACAAATGATTAGAGGCCTTCTTAGAAATCTGTATTTTAAATAATCATAAGCACTTTCTTTCTTTTTTTGAGGCAAAGTCTCACTATGCAGTTCATGCTGACCTTGAACTCACTCTGTAGCCCAGACTGGCCTCAAACTGGCAGCAACCCTCCCGCCTCTGTGCGCTGAGTGCCGGGACGACAGGCACGCGCCACCACTCCCAGCTCAGCTGTAACAGCGTGTGGTAACAGTGCTCCACGCACACACACGTCTATAACTCACACAAGCAGCTTTCCTTAGGTTAGTTAAATTTTCACCAGAAAAATTAATTTCATGCTGCTCATTTCTAGACTTACCATTTACATAAAAATGGTACCTGCCCCAGGACTGACTGCAAACCTTGTTTCACAGATTTGTCTCCCAATTACTTTTCATTGTATAAAAACATTATTTTCAAAGGATAAATACTTGTAAAATCTGTGGAGAGTTATATTTGAGCTCTTCTTTATGAAAAATTAATTTTCTACCACAGCCTCATAGAGTTAGTATTTTAAAAGGGGTACAGTGGCCCCTCACTTATCGTGGAGGTCACATTCCAGTCACTCTGCGGTAAGTGAAAATCAGTGAAGCAGCGATGTTACATTTATTTTAGTATTTATATATATTTTAAGGCTTTATAAACCCTCCCGACACTCTTATAAGCCTTCTCCACACTTTAAAGATCTTCTATGTTCTTAACCATTTTCTAAACTCATAAGCCTATGTAATTTTAACAGTATATATATATTGTACGGTACTGCAAAATCCCACGATATAGAGAAAAATCCACGATAAATAATTTAGATTAATATTTTTAAAAAACCTGTCAACACTGACTGTGAAACAGTGACAGAACACTGTACACACATTGCAATTCATGATTTCAGGTATGTTGGTTAAAAATAGTTCAGAAATCTAATAATAATGCTTTGACTCTCTTTCTTTTCACTTGGGGGAGGAGTAGGGCGGAGAAAGGCCTTTGCTCTCCAGTTGGGTGGTTTCAAGTAGAAGAAACCTGAGGATGGACGGACCGGTGTGATGGTACAGGCCCATAACCTGGGAGGCTGAGGCAGGAGGACGCAAGGTTGGGCCCAGCATGGAGAACTCATTGAGATCCTGTCTCACAATAAAAAAATAAAAAGGGGGAGGATGTAACTCAGTGTAAAGTCCCTGCATTCAATTCCCAGTACTATAAAACAAAACCCAAGAAAGAACTTGGGAGGACAGAAAAATTAATCTTTTAGTCATTACAAGAAAGTGTATTTAGGGTGACTGCTTTGTTCACCTGCTCACTTTTATCCTATTATGATTATTATTGACAGGGTCTCCCTGTGTAGTTCAGGCTGGTCTCAAGCTCATGGCAACTCACCTGTGTGCTAGGATTACAGTGCATACCACCATGCCTGGCTAATTATTTAGTACATACTTATGGAGACTCTAACACGCTCACACACCTTCCCACGTGCACGGGAGAGGCCCATGACCAAGACAGTCCCTGCTCTCCCGGTTCCTCGGAATCCCAGTGCTAAGCACCCAAACTGCGGCTGAGCCCTCCGATGAATAAAGCAGCAGGTTCAAATGTTTAAAGACGGGTATTTGAAATGTGTGCATTTGAACACAGGAGCTTGCTTCAGCATACCAACTGCACAAATCAAGAAATGAAGGATAAAGTTTTTGAAGTGAAGCTAAACCTTTTTTTCCCCCAAATGAACTTGATGATGTCAGAATGTTTTCTCAAATAGCTTTAAGAAAACCACTTACATAATGCCTACTACGTGCCAGACAGCGTTCTAAGGACTTTATGTATTCTAGCTCACTTAACTCTGATAGCCACTCTGTGGTAGACAATACTACGCCCATTTTAAGGAGCGAGATAGCTGTGATATAGAGCTTGGGTTGCACAAGGACAGGGGCATGCAGCCCGTGAGTGCAGGCTGGAAGGGAGTCTGGCCTGTGGTGTGCCCTTCACCACTGCATCACCGTCCCTCCTGCACACGGGGCCGTGTGCACGTTCTGGGGAGAACAGTTTCATTTCCCATTCTGTGGTCCACAAATGACTCAGCGGCACAGACGTGAGCCTTTCGGGCAGGGCGCTGGCATCATTTGTCCACGTCACCTAGCAGGGCCTGCCACAGAACAGGTGTGTAATACACAGAACAGCCGTGTAATACTTGCTGAACTGCATGGGATCCTCTAATGCACATGATCAGCTCCTAGCACCCTAAGGGACACAGCTCTGTTTGGGCAGCGATAGAAAAGTTTTACTGCCTGGAAGTCCTGCTGTGGTTTCAGTGTGACTTTGATAAACAGGGCAGGCGCTGCACCGCACCCAGTCATCAGCTTACCTGCAAGCGCCACCAGGTGTGGGAGGCAGAATCTGTTGGCCAAGGCGATGAGCTCCAGTGGGTCCAGGTCCAAGTTGGGCGACAGCTGCTTGGTGTAGAGATAATCCAACACTGCTTGCATTGACGTCTTGTTTATGTTGGGGAGATGCACCTGAAACATTACAGGCAGTGCTGAGCTCTGCGGGGAAAGGCAGGCAGCAGGCCTGTTTTCAGGTCACGCTACTTATAGTCCCAAGGGTCTGACTGGATACAGCTGAGACCCGGACACCTGCTTTGAGGCTGTGCATAGACATGGTTCAGTATTTAGGGCTTTAAACATAATGGCATGATTTGTAGGTGACAAGAGCGGAGCTGCCTGACAAAGCCTGATTTGGAAGTTTTCCATGGCCATTTGGACGTGTAAAGTAGACAAATGGGCTGTAAATGTATGGTGATGTTACAGGCCCTCCTGCCCAGTACCTGATAATACTCTGCTGTGGAGAAAGAAGTCTCCAAGCAGCAGGACAGGTGTGGGGGGAGCTGTAACCATCCCCTTGTGGACACCACCAGTTGTGGTGTCGCCCCAACTTAAAATAGAGGGCCCGGTGAGCAGCCTGATTTGGCTTGCACTATGCTCGGGGCATTGCCTTTTCCCATAGCCACATGGATCCCGAACAACTGGCTCAAGCTTGTATCTCGGAGCAGCCTGGCCTGGGAAACCTGGGTATGGAAACCGTCTCTGTATAATTCTCCCAGGCACCCTCCTGGTGCCTGGACTATTTCTGATATAAATCCATGCTGGAATCTGCTAATGATCCCAAGACCACCCGGAAGCGTCACTGCCTGGGGTGGCCAGGGTGCACAGGACGGAGGGATGTGCTAGCAGCTACGCTTCACATTAAGTCTTTAACACCGTAAGGCAGAGCCTGGAAGAATACAGAATGGCCCACTTGTTTTCCCACGGAAGTGCTGATTATAAAAATTAACCTACGCATCAGACACTGTGCTAAGTTTTCCATATGCGTCATCTAATTTGGTCACTAAATACACCCGGGAGGAAGAGGCTATTATCTTCTTATTTTACACTTAAGGAAACTGAGGGTTAGGGAGATCAGGTCTCATGTCCGAGGTCAAGGAGCTGGGAAGCAGTGATGAGGATTAAGGTCTGGGGAGCATAATTCCAGAATCCGTGTTTTGCATTGCGGTTCAGTAGTAGGGGCCCTTAATGGAGGGAGAAAAGGCTGGGTTGCCGCATAAGAAAGCATCATGTCTCACTAACAGCGTCTAAGAATTAGGTTTGTAATTTGAAAGGATAAAAGTTGTAAATATCTTAATTCTGGTTCTTAATAGACCTGTATATAGGATACAAAGATACAAATCTACACATTACATACATTTACCTAAATATGATATTTATGTATTATATGGTCATACATCTTCAATGTATAGTGCACATACATGAAACCACATAATCATGCGCATTTATGTACATGGACGGAGAAGAGCCCCTCCTCTCCTACAAGGCCCTCATAGCCTGTGCTTCCAGGATCCAGTTAGAGTCACCTTCTCTGTCCCTCTCCTGGACAGTCACTAGTTACCTCAGACAGCGGACACACTTTAGGATGGGCAGAGCCATTCTTCACTGCATCACGGGGAAAGCCCAGACAAACTTTTAGAAATATCAAGCAATATACAGCCCCCCTTCAGACCCATCCAGGGAAAATACGATCCCAGAAATAAGATGCATGGGTTGTTACCACAGGTCATTTGTTAAGAGTGATTAATTTCACATTTTTACTATAACTTGTACAACAGAAAGAATTTGATAGATGAGATGATCATGATACCACTTTTTAAAAATGAGGGCATGCTGAATCATCTGCAGTGTACAGATGTGGGAATGGTACTCTCTTAACCAGCTATATCTACATATAAATTAACTGCTATACTGCTTGCATGCTTACATACATGTACTGTATGCTATATACATACACTGAATTACGGATACACGAACTTGTTTCTGTGCAGATGAACACAGGGCACATGTCATTCTCGACAGCAGTGCTTGGATCAGTACCTTTCATACAACTGAAGAAAAAATTGTGGAAATTTGAGATACGAACCATTCTGTAGTAAAAGCATCCACATCTTATAAAGCATGTGTGCTGTAAGGTGGCAGCTGTTAGTGCACGCCTGGAGCCTCTGCTCCTTCAGATTCAAAGGTGTCTATTCCTTTGGAAAAGAATGAGCCAAGAGGTCAGAGGCCAGGACGGGCCCAGACTGAGGCATGAAAATGCTGTGTAACCTTTGACCAATCACCCACCCTCTCTGACCTGCAGTTTCTTGGGAGAAATTTAGAAGAGAGGTGAAAATTTCTTCACTGAGACCCTGGGTTTTCAACATGTACAGATTACCTTAACTATGTTTGCTAAGAGTGCGATTCAAACCATTTGTTAAGAGAAAAAAAACCCTCATTAGAAATACAAATGTGAAAATGGATATCCAAGTTAAAATGAAAGCTCTTTCTGGCAACAGGAGCGATCCCGGTGGGCAGCCACGTTCAGGATGCGCTCCCGACGTCCTCGGGGCGTTCTGTCTGGACTGCTCGTGGCCTGCCAACTCCTCTATGCCTGCAGTGGGTCACCCGTTCTGAAGAGGTGACTCTCCCTGTCAAGTGACATTAGGGATGCTCAGAGGCAAGCAGTGCAGGAGGACCAACGGCAGGCCTGTGCAGAGTGCATTTCTCCCTCAACTCACAGCTGGGTTCTCTGACTTCTACATTTATAACTCACCATACGTTAAGAGAGAAAGGGAGTGAGAGACAGAGACAAAGACAGAGAGACCTCTTAACACCATTTCAAAAATAACATACATAATGGTACAGGGAACACGATGAAAACGTTTCCATCCCACCTGCTGAATGTAGTTTAGAGGAAAAGAGTAATGAAAGAAAATATAATGCTGTCCTACACGATGCCCCATGTTCCACTTTACTATTTTAATTCTGAAGAATTATCTTGGACTATCCCACTCATAATGAAGAGATGGTTTCGTAGAGGATAGAAGAACTGAATGCCCAAGCCTCCTTCCTACAAGCACGCGTGCCTTTGTAATGAATCGCTTGGTGAGTACCTGTGTGGGGGGAGAGAATTATGTTTACTGCTACATAAAGGCAATGAGAAAAAACAGGAGTAACAACAGTGTCTTCATGAATATTCAATGACAAACAATGTTAAAGTGACATCACTGGGCACAATTCCCTCTTTTCTGGAAATGCAGGTCTACATGTAATTCTGTTAATTCCCACCACAGCAAAAAACAGGCTGACCTTCATGGGGGAAGTCGGATTTTCCCAAGACAAAAAAGCTCAGAAGATGCCTCAGCAAGGCCCTGGGCCAGGCTCGAACACAGAGCTATGCTGAGCATGAGGCTTCATTGAACGCTGGCCGCTGGCGGCTCTCCACTCCTGTCCCTGCCACTCCCTGACTTTCTTAGCTCGCAATTGTGCTGGGTGCTCTTTAACTTAGTGCCTTTAGGGGACAAACACCTTTACTCTTCAGGAAAAGAACTTAAGAAGAACACTCCCAGCTAATGTCTCTGACATTTGTTGAGTGCATGTATGTTCTTAGCACCAAATGTCTTCTGTTCACATGGACTGTCATTGTCTTGCCCCTTGAAGTCACCTGTTAGCCCCGTTTCCCAGGTGAAGAAACAGGGGTTCAGGGGCTGGTCACTTGCCCAAGGTCAAATGAAGATGAGGGTTCCGAACCCCACAGAGTGGTTTGTGTTGGAAATGAAGAAATGGGGGGTCCGTCAACTGCTGACCACATTCTCAGGAGCGTGGACAGTGAGATTTCAGGACAGGCTTCTGGCCCAGGCGTGTGCAGTTTTTGTCCTCTGAGCTGCTGCTCTAAGAGGTGAGTGGCCTTGTCATTCCTGGGGGTGCGCTAACCAGTGGCCGACTCCCAGCAAGGCTTGTACGTGCGCATTCCCAGTGACTGTCAAGGTTCTTGTTTTGGTCCCAGCTACTGCAGATTCTAATCTGGAGAAGATTACAGTCCCTTCTGTGAAGGGATAAGGAGGATTAGCACGCATGAGGTCAGCACTGACAGTGGCCCTTTGTGGCTGGGCTCTTGACCTTGATCAACTGTTCTCTGCTCAGTTAGCTGCAGGCTCCCTGTCGTGCAGTCAGCACGCTGCTGGAGAGCTGGAGACATGGGCAGCGGGCCTCCGAGCGCTTCATCTCCAAGGATTACTGCAGCCCGCACAGTGACAAGTGGCTGAGGTCCCACTAACCGGCACCTATCCTGGCTTGTTTCTTGGAAGTAACAGGCAAGAAAACTGTTGGCAGCAAAAGGCAACAACCCCAGGGGTGCTAGTGGTGGCCACCTGTCACCTCATCCTTTGGGGGTGTTGGGCAAGTACTGACTCTTGCACCTCAAAACCACACCATGGGTTATTACTGTGCCTTTGGATGGCACACAGAGGGGTGTGGAGAAGGAGCTGGAGTTTAGGTCTCATAGCCCCTTAACTGCTGCGCTGCCACCATCCTGCAGAGACCCCAGAAATAAAGCCCCAAACACTGGCGACCACAACGGAAAGGCTGGCTGGTTTCGAGTGAGGACCTCTGGATTTATAAAGGCAGGCGGTCACACCCAGGAGGAGGTCTCTGGGATAATCCTAAGGCTTTCTCTCAAACAGCAGAAGGGCCTCTGCGGGGCAGTGGTGGGGGCAGCTGCAGCGTGAGCTGGAAGCAGGAGTGATCTTCTCAGCCACCGTCCTGGGCTTGTCATTCCAGGATTCTGCTTCCCTGCTTGGGGACAGCGATGCAGGCTCTGGGGCACAATGGGAGCACGCAAACTTCCCTGTGAGCACCCACTTTGAAGGGCTAGCCATTGTTTTCTGCATTTATTTTGAAAGTCTGGAGAGATGCTGAGATAAACAAGACTCCTTGGACAACAAACTTGATGGGTGTCCCCGTGCTTTTTAAGAGGCTAAAAAATAGTTGCAACGCCAAACAAAAATACTGGTAAAGTTAGAAGTGCTTGAGCATATTTACTTTTCCAACAGATTTTGGAGAAAGATAAAGATCCTAGCTTGTCTGAGATCCTGCTTGTTTGGTCCTAAGGAAATCCTCTTGGCACTCTGCGAGTCGCACACTTGGAGAAGTGTTCTGGGGCCAATGTCCTGGCGGCAAACGGGCCCTCCGATCCCCTCCACACCGGCAGAGAAGTAGGAGTGGGGCTGCTGAGCTCCCTTGTGCCCCAGGGAGGCAGCAGCCCGTCCCTCCCCTTGCACATGGAGAATCGCAGGCACAGGGCATGGCTAAGGCCCTGACTGGCTAAAGAAAGGGAAGGCTGGACCTGGGATTGACCCAGGGCTTCAGGGCCTGAAGAACTGCCCTCACTTTGCTGAAGCTCTGGAAGGAAGATGCTGCCTCCCTTGTACTTCACTTTTCTTTTTAATTCTTAAATTTTACAATCTCAGAGATTGAGTCTGACACAGAATAGAAGAAATAAAAGATACGCAAAAAGATGACAAGGAAATTGGTACTAAAATTGTACTCTTCAGAAGCCTGCAACTTTTGGGTCTCAGCATTCTCTCAGTTAAATTCATGCTCCTTTCCTTTCACATCCATTAAACCCCGATTCCTGGGGAACAGCAGAAGCCAATAAGCTGGCTTACTTGACAAAGTAAAGAGCAGGAACCTGATCTTAAGACAAAGGAACAGGTTCAGAGAGTCAAAAGAATGTTTAAATTACCTAGCAAATAAAGTTGGGCCCACACCTGTAACATGGGCCACTACCCTTGTCAAGGAGGGCCACATTCTCCTATGGTCTCCACCCCTCAAGGGAAGCACCAGTGTTCCCTGTTCCAGGAAGGTCAATTCTTTTTCTTTCTTTCTTTTTTTTTTTCAGAACTGGGGATTGAACTCAGGCCCTTGCACTTGCCAGGGAAGTGCTTATTCCACTGAGCCATCTCCCCGGCCCCCCTAATTATTTTTCTATAGCAGGTGTCAGCAAACCTGGGAGCCTATTCTGTGTTAGTGTGGGCAGGCTCCTGGTGCGGCTCCGAGAGCCTCCTCAGGCTCTGTTTGAGGGCATTTTCTCTCTGTGGGCCACCCGCAGGAAGAATGGGGGCACTGAGACCTTGACAGGTCTAGCCAAAGGCTGTTCATGTTTTCTTCCCCACTTTCTCTAAGCCTTCTTTATTTTTTATACTGAGACAAAGTTTTGCTAACTCACCAAGTACTGGGATGGGCTCAAACTTGAGGTCCTCCTGCCTCAGCCTCTTATCCCACCCTGGGTTTTGTTTGTGCTGGTCAGAGAAGGTGTGGAGATGAAAGGCTATGCTGCAGAAGGCAGGCAGGGGCCCACACGGCAGCCAGCCACCAGCAACAGCTCCGCACCGCCGCACCTCCCGGTGGCCCCATGCCTCGCCACACGCGCCTGGGTGGGGGCACCTACCTCGCTGCTGCCACTCTCCACGAAGGACCCCCCGAACATGGCAGCCATCCACTCACAGCTGCAGATCAGCAGCGGCTTGTGCGCGCCCAGGGCTCCGTCGTCCAGGGTGAAGGTCACATCTGCCGCGGGGCGAGGGGCACAGTGAGCCATGTGCGCGAGGGCTCGGACCAGGGCTCCCCCACCCTCGCGTCGCCCGGGCTGTTCTCTCCCACCACTACCTTGGCCTAGTCCACCCCCACATTTAAATTACATATAAAGTCACAACCCAAATTGTTTAAAGAAAAAATGATAGAGAGGAGAGGAACATTATTTTCCCCAAACATATAGAACAAGGGAAAGAACAATACAGGCAAGTTTCCCTTATCTGAAATGTTAGGAGCCAGAACAATTTCAGATTTGTTCAGATTTGGGGCATCCACAGATACATAATAAATGTCTCGGCAAGGGGACGCAGATTTAAACAGAAAACTCTGCAGTGCCTCACATATACCTTGCACACAGAGCCTGAAGACAATTTCATAGTGTTTTCAGTGCTTCTGCATTTTCACTGCAAACTGTCCAGAGGCAGGCGTGCAATTTTCCACTTGTGGGCTCTAGAAACCTTTGATCTGGGAGCATTCTGGATGGGTGATGCTGTGTATATCACTCAGCCATCCCTGGGTAACAGCTGGTCATACTGATTTTATCTGAGTATGTATTTTTATGCACGTGAATAGACATTTTAAGGAGGTCACACAGCACTTATCATGAAATCTTCTCACACTAAGAACATTTTTCTGAGCCTCTATACCATTGCTATCTTCTGGGAAATTAAAAAATGATTCCTAATAATACCAATATCAGATACTATATAGTTCATATCAAAATTTCCCCTATTATTCCTAAATTATATTTAATAGTTCTTAAAAATGGAATCCTTTGAGGTTCTCACCAGGTACTTGGTTTTTCTCTGCATGAAGCAGGGATGATTTTAAGCAACTTTCACAAAGGTCCACTGTTCAATTCAAGATCATTTCTGCTCCATGATGGCCAGGGTTTGGGGTAAATTTTACTCATAAACTTTAAAACGAGTCAGTAGACTTACTTAGCCACTTACAGGATGTGTTGTACCACAGCATGGATTATGACAGATAAACAGAAGCAGCCACAGAAACAGAAGGTAAGAAGTGAGCTTTTCATAATGAAGTACACCCCTGGCCACACCCACCCACACCACAGGACAGTTTTAGAACAAAAATAGTTCAAGTGTGTAAGGAAAAGCACCCAGGGTCAGCCATCCGGACTGGGTAGGGTTTACAGGTGCCAGCAATGTGGAGGTTGCCGTGGGCAGCACAAGGCGTGGGCATCAAAGGCAAAGAAAGGGCAAGAAAACTATAAAACAATGTCACCTAGGAGCACGAGGGTGGAAATGGGGAAGGGGCCTGTAGCACATGCACAACCCTTGTGGGAATGCCAGGGTCACTGAACTTGCCTCTAGGACTTCAGGGGCCTCAGGACCAGGTCAGCAGGGAATGGGATTGGTCCAGGGTTGGATCCCAAAAGGGAACTGCGAATATCAGGTTGGCTGGAGGTAGATGCAGGGACAACTGATCTATCCCGAAGGGCAGTGTGGTGCCACGGTGGCTTAGGGAACAATTTCTGCAGTCACAGAAGTTTGGGTCCAGGTTTCTATTCTATTATTTACTGCTTTTGTGCAAGTTACTTATGCTGTCTGCTTTTCTGTCTGAGAAATGAAAAGAATAACCCTTAAGCCTGATGGAATCACACAGGTTACTTACTTACTATCCATTGCTTTTAAAGGTACAGGGAAAAGCAAGCACTTAAGAGATGTTAAGCTTGGGTACTCTTTACTTGGCTCACATTCGGCCAACACTCGCTAAAACACCACACAAGATCCTGGTGGCTTCACATGGGCCCTGCTCACCTGAGAAAGTCCCCTTGCTGAGACACTCTTTTATCCGATTGGCTTTCCTGACATGAAAGGCTTTCGTGATCTCCTGGTTCATAAAGGCCTCCTTGTTCATGATGTTCTCCACCATCATCCTCAGATCAAACATTTCCAGCACTTCTGCAATCTGAGCCAGCCCCATCAAATCTTTTTCCTTTTCGTCCAGTTGCCCTGTGTAAAGGAACTGGAGCAAGGTCCGGAAAGGGCCGGGCTGTACCGAGGAGTCCATCCTGACCACAGTCACGGGCCCTGCTCGCTTGGAAATGGGGTTGACCTGCACTTCCTTGTGCATGCCAAGGAAGCCCTTGCTCCAGCCAGCCAGAGTCTGCGCCCCGGGACCCAATCCCTCGGCTTCTAGCCCCAGAGTCTCCAAAGGGTTCTGGCATGAGGGTGTCCCCTGATCGGCCTGTGGTGTCCTAGGGAGGCCTTCCTCCCCTTTATCAGCTGGGTCAAGACTCAGTGTCCGACCCTGGGACTCCCTGCTTTGCATATCCTTTTCACAAACTGCTTTGCCCCACTCTGGAGATTCTTCACATTCCATTAAGAAAAGATCATAAAATTTGGAAGAAGAGGTAGCAAGGTAAATTCGATGTGCAAAGATGCGCTCCTGGCCCTGGAGGAGGAACAGGACGTCGGCACACAGAGGGCTGTCCAGTAAACAGGCGGCCTCGCTCGTGCCCGCAGGGGGGCACTCTGGGACCGCGATGACCGGCGGGGGTGCTTTTGGAGGTAGGAAGGGCGCCTGAAGTAGAGGTTTCTGAACTTTTTTCAAGTGGGACTTCCAGAACTGCAGGTGCCGGCGGGAGATCAGTGCTGCTCGGATCGCGTTGTCAAATACGTCCTTGATTCCAAACTGGTCAAACACACTGGTCTCATAGTACGGTATGCCAAGTTCCTTTGCAACCTCTCGGCCTTTTTCTGGGGGCAGAATATCACCTCTCTTTATGGGCCTGAAATAGAACATTAAAAAAAAATCATACTATGCCTTATTTTCAAGTAAAACTAATAACTAGTGTCTACCTAAGCACCTAATTGAACTATGCATTTGAAATCCCAATAGGTTTTCAGTAAAGGCTCTTAAAAAACCTATGACCAGAGGATTCATAACAGCAGAAAAAATGTTTTCAGTAGTAGCCACAGTCATCAAAGTGTTGGTATCTTAGTCGCTCCTTGACTTTGGGCAAATGACTTGACCTCTTTAAGCCTTCACTTTGCCATCTATCTAGTACCCAGCTCTTACTGAAGACTTACTAAAAGGCCCCAAATGAGACAACATGTTTAGCACGGCACTCGGAGCACAGGAAGTGCGCTGTGCGTGCTATTCTTGTTATGCCCACCACCACCACCACCACCACCATGTTATACTCTAAATTTTTGCTTTATAACTTTAAAATACATCACATTATGTTTTTTTATTTGAGCCTCATAATAATGCAATGAAGTATTATTTTTTGTTTTTGTTCCACACTCCGAGGAACCTCACGCAGAAAGCCTCACGGCTTAGCACTCAGGCCACTCACACAGCACGGGAGACCTCGGCCCGATCGCAGAGCCTAGGCCTCCCATCCTTTGGTTATATGAACCAAAGTCTCCTCTGCTGGATTTAGGGGTGCTCTTTCACCTCTTCCTGTCTTTCCCCTGCTCCTTCATCAGATCCTCCCCATCTTTTGTTCGGACTGCTACTTTAGCCTCCTGCTCACTCTTTATCATCTTTACTTTTATTCTGTAGTCCTTACGGCTACAAGAGAGGCCTTCAATAGCACAAGTGTAACTTGGCAGCAACTCTAGGTTGACATCCATTATGTCCATAAGGCCGTGGCATAGTCCGCACCCAAAGCCCACCTGTGCCTTAGTAAACTAGAAGACCAGCGACAATGCTTCACTCCAGAGACATATTCTTAGAAAGTGATCAGCTAAGTAAATATTTGGCCTTCGACCCCACATGTACTATGTATGACAGACACTGGTCTCAGGATAAAAAAAGACAACAACAGATGGAATATGGATCTGAAGACCTGGACAGAAAAGAGATGTTGGGCCTAGGAAACTGGTCTGGGTGTAAAGGATAAGTGCAGGGAAGGAGGTTTAATTCCAGGTTTGCTCCCGCTGGCCTCAGGTGTTCCTTGTCCCAGGGTGTGCTAGCTGGTGACACTCAGCATGGCCTCGCTCAAAATCGCCTCTGATGGGAGCGCAGAGCTGCTCCACAGAAGGGATGGCATGCCCGCTGCCCCCGCAGACCTGCAGACCTCCTCCAGGCCCCCCCACACCAGCTGGCTCTTAATACAGTTTCTGGGCCATGCATTTAAGAATGAAAAGACTACGAATTCTGCACATGAAATGTTTTCAGAAATTTTATCCAAAATGTAGAGCATCAGAAAATACCCAAAGAAAGCACAATTTGTTTCCACTGTAAGAACAAAGTTGTGTCCATGCATATTTTGGTTACAAGCCTATTATTAAGCAAACATGAAAACAAGGTATTAATATCAAAAATTTGGAAAGAAATTTGGGGCCAGGGAGATGGCTCAGTAGAATAAGCGCTTGCCTGGCAAGTGCAAGGGCCTGAGTTCAATCCCTGGTTCCGCTAAAAACAAAACAAAACAAAACAAAAACCAGTATCAAAAATTTCTGAAAATCAATGATCTGCTGCAAAAAATTATTAACATGAAAAAGATACAAAACTGTTTAGTACGAAGGGAACGTGAAGGAACATGGAGCTTTAGAAATGTAATCTTTTCCTCAGGCTGGTATGCGCCCCTTACACACAGAAACAAATCCTGCTTCAGGCGGTTTTCAGGTATTTGTGACACTTTAGAAATGTAAGTACTAAAGACACTCAGAAGTAATGTTTGCCTTTTTGTAACTTGGGGTCCAAATGATTTTTAAAAATGGGACACTGTCGTCTCTGGCAAGAAATACTCTTAAGAAGCTGGGCTGTGGAGTCCGGGAGGACTAAGACATTTAGAGGAGCAGCTCTGCAGGAGCCTAATTGTCCCAGGGGCCAAGCACTGTGGCTCATTCCTCTAAGCATCAATTAACTTGAGTCATGATCACCACTTCACGGGCATTGCCACGGGCAGCTGACGCTCTGTGCGGTGGTTTACACATGTGAAAGCACTTCCACACACCACTTCGTATTAAAGAACTCACATTAGCACTGGCCAACAACTCCATAGAAATCGTAGGAGATGACCTCATAAGCGATGTGGTAGAGATGACGGTGGGGGAGAGGAGGTCAAGGCACAGCCCTCGGCACTAGTGGGCTGACCTAACGCGTATGTCAGGTTAGCGGGGCCCCAGAATCGTTGAGGCACAGAACGGCAGGCTGCAGAGACACCTGCTACCTCTCATTCTCAATTCAGCCGGGCAGTGAGACGCGGAGTCCTCGGCTTACCTTGCTAGCGGGCGTCTGGCTCTGTTCACAGCCTCCAGATCGGCGTAGCGGAGATCAAGCTGGCAGCCAACTAGGACCACAGGTGTGCGAGGACAAAAGTGCTTGATCTCCTGATACCACATGGTTTTCACATGATTGAGGGAATTGGGATTAGCGATGGAGAAACAGAGGACCACCACATCTGACCTAGGAGGAGACCACAACAGAAGCTCGTGTTGGCTTTTAACATTTTTCTTTCATTGTCACCATCCTACCCCTCCCCCATTCTCTGAATGCCTTACTATGTCACAATTGTTTTTTTTTAAGAGCAGAATATATTTTTTGAGGGACAGAAAGCTCCTGTCCCAGAGAGGTTCAGGAGGGGGGCCTGAGCAGGTAGTTCCCCCCACAATTTTTTTAAAACAATTGCTAGAACACATCTCTTAGCATGCACACAGCCTGCCAAGCCTCCACATTCCAGCACCAACACAGCCTAACCATTTATTTCCATGTCACACTGCAGAACATGACGCACTGAAAGTTCCCCAAGGACTGACTTTCCAGGAGAGATGGTCACCCAGACCCCACTCAGCCCCAGAGCCGCAACACGCTGAACTATTTCTACTCAAGAGAAACAGTCTCAAGATAAAAGAAAAAAATAAAAACTGCCTTTTATCAGTTTAAACATAGAGGTGATGATTTAACTCAGTGTGGTAGATACAGCGAATACCTTAAACACTGCTGAAAAAGGTAACAAGTATTTGTTGCACAGGGTCTACAAATACTCAGGATTTCTGTCCTTCTCACGTAGGCACACATAGAGAGCACTATCATTCTCTGCTTCTGAAAGGAAAAATCCTGAACTGGCAGGAGACTGAACTTTGTCCTAGCTCTAAGGCACAAGGTGGCATTTAATGTAGAGCTAGGTAAGAGTCAGACAGAGGGCTACTAAGATGAGAAAGTTCTGGATGCAAATCTCTGGAGTGTTATGTATGATACGCGGTAGATACGCGGAGAAAAGAAAAATGCTCTAGAGCTGATTTTTACAAAGCAGTAGTTCAAATACAGTGTTTGATGGGTAGCTGCAAAGAGACATTTTCAACCACCATTTAGGTTAAAATATGAATGATGACTTTCAAGAGCGAAGCAGAAGGCATAGTTGTGCACAAGGATTCAAGGCTGCCTTGTAGCCAAGTTCAAAAATAAACTTATAATTTAACTAGATGTTAATTTATTGCTTTTATTGTTTATGTAATGAGAAGAATCCAGTCAATGAATCAAAACACTTTCTTTTTAAATCATTAATGAGCTTTCCCCCCTACATATCAATGAAGACAAACAAATATATGCAGGCAACCATAAAATTTCTAAAAATAATCATTTGCAATGCAGAAAACTGCAGGGTGCTCCCATTAAATGTAATTCACAAGTTGGGTCTTTAAATTTATATTCGAGAAAAATTATACCAGATGTCATCAACTAGAGGGGAAAGTCCCAAGTTTAAAATATTTGCAAATTATAAAAGAAAACCTAGGGCTCAAAGTTGATGAATGTATTAGTCTGCATGGTTAGAATCTTTTGGAAATAAAGATATTACCAAAAATTCTTGGATGCTGGAATAATATGTGTAAAACTATGCATACACATATAAATGAAAGGGAAGCATGTCTTGTCTCTGAGATTTGGAGTTAGTTAGCAGAATATTCTGTGCTCAGTCTTACTTCCAATCAGCATAAATAACAGTGCCCAGTAAAGCTAAGAATGCTCTGAATTTCAACGTTTTTTACAGCTGAGTCTTCTATTATTCATAACCCTATTTATATCAGGTATCTGATGAAGCTTTGCTATATACTTCATCCTGAGCATAAAATAAAGCTACTCTGAATTTGGCACAGTGAAAATAACATGACAATATGTGAAATTTGATATGATAAAGAATTTGAAAAATTCAGTACCTAAATGTGGAATGCTATGTGCATGTATAAAACTGTTGTAATTGCTGTCTCCTATTTCCATATTAAGGCACATAACTGTAAAGAAAATCATTCTAAGGAGCTTAATTTATATGACAGACACGTACCTAGATGTCAATTCTGTTATCTAATTTTATGATACAGCATGTAAGGTTTTGAAATCCGAGCTCGCCCGGTTGCCATGGTTACTGTGGTAGCACTCAGGCCACTGCACACAGAGGCATTGCCACCTAGACGACCTGTGAGCAAGCGCAGGCAGGACCTGGGGGCGGGAAAGATGAAACATTCTGACGCCGCCGGGAGCACAAAGCCGCAGCGCAGCACAGGTCCGGAGGGCCCAACCCAACGATGCTGCATCAATAGCTAAATGCGGGAAATGCTGAGGGAAAGCTGGAAAAATAATTCGATGGTCTGTCAATATTTTGCTGCAGAACAACTACAGACAAGAGGTTGTGCTGAAAACAGTATCACCTCTAAAGCTAATAACTCTGAGTGAAAATTCTGTATGGGTGTTAGAATATATTTTTCTTTTTGCCTTTGTATTCTCATTTCATTGCTCTGAGAATTTATCCCTATTATTTTACACATAAAACTGAAAGATAGTGTTTCACTACCAGCTTGCTTGAAAGTCTTTTGTCACCTTGTGGTAATCTAAATACAAATGCAAATTTAAAAAAAACAGCTGCACAGAATTCTTTTCTTAAGGTCTGCCATACAAATGTAGAATCCTAAGCCCAATTCCAGCCTGCAGGCCGAGCAACGCGAGCACACTGGTGTGCGCACACTGGTGCTGTCTGACCCACCCGTTCCCGTTCCTTCCTAATTTCTATCTGCTAGTGTCGTCTGTGGCACGTGCACCTGTACAAATCAAGCAACGATTCTGAGAAAGCCTTTTATTCCTTCTACAGTTTGAGCCATTTTCTATCTGGTCAAAGAAAGCACAGACCTGTAGCTAAGAATATTTCCAGTTTAGGCAGAATTCCAAGAACCAGAGATATTAAAATAACTTTTAATCAAAACATTCATTCCTGTGTGGAGACTGTTCAATGTCTGACATAGGCTTGTGTTTAAAAATGCCATTCCTATGAAAGATGAAAAGAAAAGAACAGGTTCCAGCATTTCTATTTTCAGGGTTCTGTTACTTTTTTTTTTTTATTTTGAAGAATGATTTTAAAACTAATGCGGGCTATGTGACGAGAACATGTTCACGTACTAGGCAATAGGGTAGTCCAGCAATGACCTCAGAAATCATATTTCTGCAGCAAAAAGAATCTGGTTGGATTTAAATGGAATCCTGGAGAAGAAGGCACAAGAGTGTGGGAATGTGGAAGCAAAGCGAGGAGAGGCTCAGACCAGATCCAGGCCGCAAACCGTGAGGGGGCAGGACGAGGCTCGGAATGTTGTGTAATTGATTTTTATTTTAAAACTTTATGACTGGGCTGAATGGCTGTACTAGAGAAAGCTGAAGCCACAAATACCTTCAGTGTGTACGGTGTCAGTTGGGCACGGAATGCTTTTTTTTAAAAGAAAAATACGATTTCTTGTCTTTATGAGGAAAATATCAATTAGTACTCAAGTTTCATTTGAGTACTAACACATCAAATAATGCCAGTGAAATAATATTTTGACTAGTTAACTAAAACACTGTCCAAAATAAATTAACATGTTGGAAGAAATGGAAACCTCTGATTTCCTATGGGAGTAGGTGAGGCTCAGAAAAATGAACTCATCCAAAAGGACTGGAGCTGATAAAGCTGTCGGTTGTGTCAGTTTTTCTTCAGCTATTAAACAAACCGAAGAGCATATTTTTGCAGCTATCTTTTAAGGGCAACACTGGCCAAAGATAGCATGTGGAAGATTGGCAAAAACACTGAGATACCATATGGGATGCATACAAAATTAGGGCCAACCTGGTTAGAGGATTAAGGAAAAAAAATTGCAGAGCAGCGCATCTTAACCATATTTCCTGGCTCCAGCCAGAATCGGAGAAGCAAGTACTACAGATGTCCTCAAAGCCCGTCTTTATAACATCTACAGTCAAATTTAGCAAACTCAGAGGAAAGGCTGGCAAATAATGGGAAGCTAAGCTGTTTGTTCCAGTTGAAAACACCAAACTCTCCTGTACAGAACTGGTTGACAAGGAAGGGGTGGACAGTCTAGATGGCACTGCTGCTAACAATGCGTCTTTGAGGTCTCTCCTATCATAGAAATGGTCCCTGCCTTCTCTTTCCTGGTCTCGATTTACTTTTCAGTTGTCTTCCATTTCTAGTTTGCCACTCTTGTCCAGTGGTGGAGCTGCAGGTGTTGGGGTTCTCAAAAAAAGTCTTGCATCATCCTTTATCTAAGGGAGTCTGTCATCGGGCCAATGTGATGGAAATGCAGGGGCTGGTGGACTGCCTCAGTCTTTTGAGAGCAGTGCGAGGGAAGCCCAACACCTTGGCACTGTGCCCCATTCTGGGAGGGTCTCTTGCTGCCCTGGCACTTGGCAATCAAGGCCAAGTTAGCGATTCCACTCACCTGAGTTCTCCATCGATCGGTCTACTTTTTAATTTGTATTCGTACTTTTAAGCCTTTCATTCTATGGTCTGACGCCATCTCTTCACATTGCCTACATCCACTGGAGTTTATGAAGGAAAGACTCTCATCCCTGATGTCGGCAGAGATCATGGTCACTTGCTAATGGGCTTCATTTCCTTATCGATGTGTGCTAGGTCCCGCCCTGACAAAGACTCCAGGAGAAGCTCCTGACTCCCACCACCAGGGTTTCAGGTTTCCACTTTCCCGGCTGATCGCTGAGGTAGGTTCTCCAAAGAAACAATTTTAAAACCATTCACGTCAAAAACACACCTTTCACGCACAAAGTCTGACAGTGCTGTGCAAACTGGCACATCCAAACAGCATACAACCGCTGGCAGCATGCTGAGGAGAGGACGTGGGGCAGCACTTGCCCAAGGGCTTTAGCAGGGGAGCAGCCGGCATGAGAGATGTGGGGAGCTGTCCGCGATGGCGTGCAGCGCTGCGGGCTGGGGGCAGCACTAACTCAGCGGGCGGCGCTCTGGGGAGCAGGGTGGACCATGCGACACCCCGGGCAGGGGCAGGGAACCTGAGTCCACAATTCACCCATAGCCGTGAGGCTTCTGAAGTACAGACGCTGTGGGGGAAAACCGCCAGAGCACCCTGAATACACCCAGATGTGGGAGTGATCGGCATGCAGTAACCTCAGTCTTATTAGGA